TATGCTCGGAATAATTTAAATAACAATGAATTATCTATTTTTAAAAATAAGATTTAATTTATTGTGAATTCCTGTTTCTGGTGTCTTTTTTTTTTTTTGCCTGTCAAAAAAACAAACAAAAAACAAAAAACAAAAAAATGTCCTTTCCAAAAAAAAAAGGCGGGGTGGGGCTGGCACCGTGGCTCACTTGTTTAATCATCCGCCTGCGGCGCCAGCATTCCATATAAGTGCTGGGTTCTAGTCCCGGTTGCTCCTCTTCTGGTGCAGCTCTCTGCTGCAGCCCGGGAGGGCAGTGGAGGATGGCCCAAGTGCTTGGGCCCTGCACCCACATGGGAGACCAGGGGAAAGAAAGTACCTGGCTCCTGGCTTCAGTGGCAGTGCCAGCTATAGAGGCCATTTGGCGAGTGAACCAACAGAGGGAAGACCTTTCTCTCTCTCTCTCTCTCTCCCCCTGTATATAACCCTACCTGTAAAAAAAAAAAAAAAAAAAGTCCTTTCCAGGAGGAGGTTTTTGACCTAGCATTTAAGACATTTGTGGGGCTTGCACTGTGGCTTAGAGGGTAAAGCCACCGCCTGCAGAGCTAGCATCCTATACGGGCGCTGGTTCGAGTCCTGGATTCTCCATTTCCGATTCAGCTCTCTTCTATGGCCTGGGACAGCAATAGAAGATGGCGCAAGTGCTTGGGCCCCTGCACACCCATGGGAGACCCGGAAGAAGCTCCTGGTGCCTTGCTTCAGATAGGCACAGCTCTGACTGATGCGGCCAACTGGGCAGTGAACCAGCGGATGGGAGACCTGTCTCTCTCTCTCTGTGTCTCTCCTTTGCTCTGTATGTAACTCTGATTTTCAAGTAAAATAAAATAAATCTTTGAAAAACAAAAGACATTTGCATGCCACATCAGAGTACCTGGGTTCAATTCCTAGCTCTGGCTTTAGACTCCAGCTTCTAGATTATATACTGGATTCCAGGTCCAGCCTTGGCTCAGCTCTGGCCCAGCCCTGGCCATTGTAGGCATTTGCAGAATGATCAGTGGATGAGAGTTCTGTTTCTGCTTCCTAATAAAGAAATCTTCAAGAGCTGGCACTGTGGCATAGCAGGTAAAATCACTGCCTGCAATGTTGGCATCCCATATGGATACCGGTTTGAGTCCCAGCTGCTCCAATTCTGATCAGCTCTCTGCTCATGTGCCTGGGAAAACAGCAGAAGATGGCAAAGTCCTTGGGCCTCTGTACCCACATGGGAGACCTGGAAGAAGCTCCTCCCTCCTGGCTTTGGATTGACCCAGATGCAACTGTTGCAGCCATATGGGGAGTGAACCAGTAGATGGAAGACCTCTCTCTCTCTCTCTCTCTCTGCCTTTCTGTAACTCTGCCTTTCAAATAAATAAATCTTTAAAAATAAATAAATAAAAGCAAGATTAAAATAAAGAAACCTTCAAAAAATTTCCTTCCCTCTTCTCAGTTTAAAATTATCCATTTTGTTTCTTCTTTTATCCCAGGGTTATACAGCAGTGTTGTATAATTTCAGGAATATTGTCCAAGTGGTATAAATATTATTTAGTACAGAACAAGAGCTTAACTTAACTTGTGATACACCTGTATCCCCAAAAAAGCCTTTGGATAACATATGTCAACTTTCTGAAGCCAATAAATACAAAAAAAAAAACTCCAAAAATTTAAATAATGAAGAATTTTTCTTAATTTCCTTAGAGTTTCCATAAATGATAAATTTTCAAAAAAAGTTTGCAAGAATATTATATTGCTGAAATAATATTACACTAACAGTAACCCTGAATATCAGAAACAACCTCTCAGCTTTCTACAGCACTTTCTAAAAGAGTAGCCCTCACAAACAGATGGGAAGAGTGGTAAGGAGGTTTGAAAGAGCTGCATTCTCTAAAGGTTACTTATGGTTTAAGCTTATTTAGAAATCTGCAAACACGGTAGGATATTAGACCCTGAGAAGTTCTACATACCTAAGGTTAACCAAATATTTTCTAAATGTATTTGATTACCTCATACTTTTATCAATTAATAGCTAATAATGCTTTTTAGGAAATGAAAGTCAAGAAGACAAAGTCCTTGAAGAAAAAGACAGTATAATTAAATTCATCTCTGTGGTTTGCTCAAAACTGGTGCTTCATATACTGAGCTCAATTTGATGCTTGCTGAATGAGTTGGTACCACAGGAGGTATAATATGGCAACAGTCATTAAAGGAATATACCCAGTACAGCTATTCCAAGTATGGATATCCATAAGTGGAGTAGTCAGCATTTTGCATCAAAATTCAATCTTTCTATTTTAGAATTGTAAATGGAAATTCCTAAGACTTTGGTCCTATCCAAATTCAAATATCAAAAGTGAACTTCCTGAGGATGTCAACAAAACCCAGTAAAAATACTACTACTGTTGTAGCACTAATGAAAGTATATGCACAATATGCATATGAGCACACATACCAGCAATAAGTATCATTATATTACATTGCCATCATCACCACCATTATCTCTGTTGTGTAAAATGTCAATCTGTTGACTTAATGTTATCACCAGATCACAGTATCTTCAGAGAAACAATGGAACAAGTTGTTCCATTGTCTATATCAAATTAGTATAGTGGGACCACACACTTTCAGTTTCTACACATGAAGTTTTAAGATTCAGTGAGGGGCCTGCGCTGTGGTGCAGTGGGCTAATCCTCCGCCTGCGGCACCGGCATCCCATATGGGCGCCTGTTCTAGTCCCAGCTGCTCCACTTCCAGTCCAGCTCTCTGCTATGGCCTGGGATAGCAGTGGAGGATGGCCCAAGTCCTTGGGCTCCTGCACCTGCAGGGGAGACAGGGAGGAAGCACCTGGCTCCTGGCTTCGGATCAGCGCAGTTCTGGCTGTTGCGGCCATTTGCGGAGTGAACTAATGGATGAAAAACCTTTCTCTCTGTCTCTCCCTCACATTGTAACTCTACCTATCAAGTAAATAAATAAAAAAATCTTTAAAAAAAATTCAATGATACAATGTTACAGTCATAAAGTAGGCAGTAAATTAGATAAAGCCAGGAAGCTTCAGAATTAGTAAGACCAAAATGCATTTATTTAGCTAGAGATCTTCTAGTTTCAAAAACTGAGAAATGGCCGGCGCCGCGGCTCACTAGGCTAATCCTCCGCCTAGCGGCGCCGGCACACCAGGTTCTAGTCCTGGTCGGGGTGCCGGATTCTGTCCCGGTTGCCCCTCTTCCAGGCCAGCTCTCTGCTGTGGCCAGGGAGTGCAGTGGAGGATGGCCCAGGTGCTTGGGCCCTGCACCCCATGGGAGACCAGGAAAAGCACCTGGCTCCTGGCTCCTGCCATCAGATCGGCGCGGTGCGCCGGCCGTGGAGGCCATTGGAGGGTGAACCAATGGCAAAGGAAGACCTTTCTCTCTGTCTCTCTCTCTCACTGTCCACTCTGCCTGTCAAAAATAAATAAATAAATAAATAAAAAAATAAAAAAAAAAACTGAGAAATGTGAAATTTTATTTTATACTTGTGATAAGTTCTATGAGCTGCCTCCACAACCTTTCCCTCTTCTTTCGTGTTAACAGAACTCTGATTTTGTTTGGTGCAACAATGTACACAAAACTTGAAGGGATATATCAAAATTTAACTATGTCAATCACAAATGTGCCCAGGCTTCTTTGTAGCTGCAGGTAGCTATAGGTATTTCTGTGACCTACCCACGTGACCAGTGAGGTAAGTGACCTACCCATGTGGCCAGTGAGATAAAATAAATCTGCTAGGAAGACTCCTTAAAAGATTTTTCTATCAACTCAAAAAGAGCCAAACAAAAAGGCACTTTGTCCTCACTTCATCTTTTATCACTGGAACACTAGTGTGAGGTAAACAATGCCTGGGGCTACAACCATCACCTTTTGATCATGAGGCAATAAGTAAAAGCTCAACAAACTGATATGTTAAAGACAGTAGAGGCCGGCGCCGCGGCTCACTAGGCTAATCCTCCACCTTGCGGCACCGGCACACTGGGTTCTAGTCCCGGTCGGGGCGCCGGATTCTGTCCCAGTTGCCCCTCTTCCAGGCCAGCTCTCTGCTGTGGCCAGGGAAGTGCAGTGGAGGATGGCCCAAGTGCTTGGACCCTGCACCCCATGGGAGACCAGGATAAGTACCTGGCTCCTGCCATTGATCAGCGTGGTGCGCTGGCCACAGCACGCCGGCTGTGGCGGCCATTGGAGGGTGAACCAACTTCAAAAGGAAGACCTTTCTCTCTGTCTCTCTGTCCACTCTTGCCTGTCAAAAAAAAAAAAAAAAAAAAAAAAAAAAGACAGTAGAAAAAAACACCCTGGAAGCCTGATTATATCACTGAGTCAAGCGAACAAATGCTGGATCTACCTGCTTCCAAACTTATCACTAAGCCAGTCTTGTTATCCTGTGGTCAATATCCTGAATATATATTGTCATTGCTGCCAACTGCTTAACTGACACAGCAGTGCCCATGTTTTCATGTGATAAAGATCATAATTTACTAATTAACATTTCAGAATTTAAAAAATTTTAGGATTAGGTGTTTGTGGTACAGGAGGTTAAAACATTACTTGGAGTGGCTGTGATTAGAGACCCACCTCCACTTCTGATCCAGCTTCCTGTGAATGTGCTTGGGAGGCAGATAATGGCCCAAGTACTGGGTCCCTACCATCCCTGCGGGAGACCTGGGTGGAGTTCCTGGCTCCTGGATTTTGGCCTGGCCCAGCTCCAGAAGTTGTGGACATTTGAGGAGTGAACCAGAGTATAAAAGACATCTTTTTCTTTCAAATAAATAATAAACAAAACTTTAGAAATAAATAAAATTTTTGAAAAGCAATAGAGAAAGTAGGAAACTTTCAACTTTTCATGGCACATAATGCTATACTTAAATAGCTTTTACAAGCATATAAAAACATGTTTTATAAAATTAAGTAACAGAATTTTAAAAACAAACAATTTTCAAGAGACAAATATGAAAAATTGATCCATACCCGTACCTTTCCGTGTGTTCTCCGTCACATCTACCCCAAACTGGATAATGTCACCAGAAAGAATCTCACATGGTGGACTTTCTTCAGAGCCTCGACTCAATCTCTGGCTATTTATAAAGGTACCATTACTACTTTTAGTGTCTTGGAGATAAAACTGCAACAACAACAACAACAAATTGAAGATTAATAATAATTTCAAGCCTACTTTCAAGAGAAAGTACTTCCAACTTTGCAAATATTTCATGTGGATTTTTCCCCCTTATCAATTCAAGTTACTTATTTTAGCTAAGGTTGTCTATCAAAATATGTGAAATTAAAACCTTAAAATTAGGTGATAAAAAATCCAGCTAGGAGGGCTATGCTGCAGCATATTAGGTTGGGCCTCCAGCTGTGGCACCAGCATCCCATATGGGCACCGGTTCATATCCCGGCTGCTCCTCTTCAGATCCAGCTCTCTGCTATGGCCTGGGGAAAAAAAAAAAAAAAAAAACCTAGGCACCGTGATATGGGACTTGGACTTCCTAGTTGGCATCTTAAGTACCGAATCAAATGCCTAAGTGGAATTTTAAAAAGGATTTTATTTATTTATTTGAGAGAAAGAGTTACAGACAGACAGGGAAAGACAGTAAGAATGGTCTTCCATCTGTTGGTTCACTACCCAAATGGCTGCAATGACCCTAAAGCCAGGAATCAGGAGCCCCTCTTCTGGTCTCCCACATGGCACATTTGGGTCATCTTCTGCTGCTTTTGCAGGCCACAACAGAGAGCTGAATCAGAAGAGGAGCAGCCAGGACTAGAACTGGCACTCATATGGGATGCTGGCGTTTAGCCCACTATGCCACAGCACTGGCCCCAGTGCCTGGGTTTGATTCTTGGTTCAGGCTCCCAACTCTAGCTTCCTGCTAATCTAGACCTTGTGAAACAGCAGGTGATGGCTCCAGTAGCTGGATCCCTGCCACCTATGTGGGAGATCAGGACTTAATTATTTTTTATTTATTTATTTGACAGGCAGAGTTACAGTGAGAGAGAGAAACAGAGAGAAAGGTCTTCCTTTTCCGTTGGTTTACCCCACAATGGCTGCTGCGGCCAGAGCGCTGCAGCCGGCACACTGTGCTGATCCGAAGCCAGGAGCCAGGTGGTTCTCCTGGTCTCCCATGCGGGTGCAGGGCCCAAGCACTTGGGCCATCCACCACTGCACTCCCAGGCCACAGCAAAGAGCTGGACTGGAAGAAGAGCAACCGGGACAGAATCCGGTGCCCTGACCAGGACTAGAACCTGGTATGCCGGCGCCGCAGGCAGAGGATTAGCCTATTGATCTGTGGTGCCGGCCGTAGGACTGAATTCTAGCTTTGGGCTGATCCAGCCCCAGCTACTGTGGGCATTTCGGGGAGTGAAACAGCAATAGGGGCTCTGCCTTTCTGTCTGTTTCTCTGCCTCTCAAAATAAAAGAAAAATTAAGAACTCCTTAAAAAGATAAAATCCAGTCAGACAAAATGGTACAACTGCTTTGGAAAAAAGTTTGTTAGGTCCTCAAACTGTTAAAACATTATATGACTCAGGAATTCCACTTCTAGGTATATATCCAAGAAAATGGAAAACCTATATACTCACCAAAACTCATAAACAAATGTTTACAGCAATGTTATTCACAACAGCAGAAAAGTAAAAACAACCCAAATGTCCACCAGCTGATGAATAGATGAACAAATGTGGTGTAACCACACAATGGATTAGTATGTGGCAATAAAAAAGGAATGAAGTAATCATATATACCAGAAGATGGACAAGTCTTTAAAATATTACACCAAGTAAAAGCAGCCAATCACACACAAACACAAAAATATGATTTCATCTATATGAAACATCCAGAATAGGCAAGTCCACAAAAACAAAAGCATATTATTGATTTTAATGGGATAAGGTATGGGGAATGGATACTAATGGGTACAAGGCTTCTTTTCAGGGTGATGAAAATAATTTAAAATTAATAGTGATGATAGCAGAACTCTGTGAATATACCAAGAACCACTGTGTTGTACACTTTAAACGACAATTTTAGGGGTGGACACTGTGGCACAGCAGGTTAAGCCACTGCTTGTAGTGCCAGCATCCTATATGTACATCAGTTCAAGTCCCAGCTCTTCCAATTCCAACCCAGCTCCCTACTAATGTGCCTGGAAAAGCAGCAAAGGATGGTCCAAATTCCTGAGCCCCTGCACTCACATGGGGAGACCCAGATAAACTCCTGGCTTCGGCCTGGCCCAGTCCTAGCCACTGTGGCCATTTGGAGAATGAACCAGTAGATGGAAGCACTCTCTGTCTCTCATTTTCCCTCTCTCTCTGTAAATCTGACTTTCAAATAAACAAACCTTTTAAAAATAAGAGAGTGTTATAGTACATAAATTCTACCTTAAATAAAGCTATTATTTTTTTAAAAAGCCAGCTAGACAAAATTCTATCTTTCCATCTCACTTTGACTTTGTAACTTTATTTCCAGAATGTTTTATTAAATTAAAGGAAACTATCTTTATTGCCCAGTCAAGGGCAAATGGCTTTTAATAATATCAATAATTAATATATATAAATTAGCTAACACAATTTGCAATCAGAACTGACACATCTTCAATAAATTCTTTGTGATCAAGCAGATTTGAGACATTAGAACTAAAATACTGCAGAAAGTACTACATCTTGGCTGCCTCCCAACCTTTCACAACTTATCTTCTTCCTTTAAAAGGGAAAGGATAGCAGGAGGCAAAGGAACCTCCTTAACATTTAACAGTCTTAAAGGAAATTGGGAATAACCAGGATAACACAATTGACTTGCTAGGAAGAAAACAACCAATAGAAAAAAGTACTAATTCACTTATTTCATTTTTCCATACTCTCCAGGCCTACTTATTCCAGTAGCATATCACAGTGAACATGTTTTGACTGCAAAGAAGACATCTAACATACACTAAAATATACTTTATGCCATCAGGTCCTCACAATCTTAACAATAAAGCTATGATATGGATATCATTACTTTCAATTAAACATGAGAAAAGTAAGGCTAGGCATGTTAAATAACTTTCCAAAGGTAACAGAGCAAGGATTCAAAGCGAATTAAAAGGGCCATTTTACCCCATTACTTCACTCTGACCTTTATGTTTCATTTACTTTCACTCTTCCCACAAGCTCTTCCAAATGAAACACAACAAGAGACTAAGCAATTTGTAGAAAATGTGAAAATGACATTTCATTTCATTAATTCCTAGGTGACAATTTAAAGGTCACCAAGCCGTCTATAAATGACTTATGCTTTACTTATGTTCAAAACAGACCAACTGTTACTTTGGTTAGCAGTTTGTACATTTAATTACAGATCATAAAGAAGATTGTGTTGATAATTTCTCAAGTCAATTTAAAATTCACAGGCCTTAATATTTCATAGCAGAGAAATAAGAACAGGCAATATTTTAAATTAAAAGCAATAATCTTTTTTTAAATAAACATTCTTGGAAAATGTGCAATATTTAGATTCTGATATGGTTATTTTCAGTATATGTGTCTGCAAGTCATAGAAGATTATACTAGATTCACAGTGGTTTCCAATCTCTAAATGATCCATTGGGGTGATTAAGACAATTTAAGTGGGCTGCAACTAGCATTTTCTTTTTCTAAACATGACAAAGAACAGAATAAAAAAAAATACATGAAATAAGGTCCAGTACTGGCTAGCAAAGCTTTTGGCTTCCAAATACTTTAGAATAAAACCCAAAAATTTTTACTTACCACTGCATCCTACAGAGCCTAATACGATCTGGCTCCTGGTTCCCTCTCTGAACTCAATCATTTCCACTTTTTCCACCATCATCCCTCCCAGTCACACTCACCTTCACTCATGCCTGTGACCTCTGCACTTGTGTATATAGCTAGACTGCATTGCATTTAGTTCCCTGTGGAAATATTTTCACTGATATGATTTAACCTTTGGTCTTTGGCTGTTTTGAAATTGATATTACAAATAATGGCTTTACACTGTGGTAAAATAGTCAGCCATTAGTGAGCTTACATTGCCCAGAAGCTATTCTACTTACTGCTAGGTTAGGTGCCTAAAGTTATAAATATGTCAACTTGTTTGCAAGGAGCTGGAAAGATACTATGCTTACGGTTGCTGTATGAAATTCCAGTAAGTAGGTACATTAGTTGATTCTGTCACTTTCAAACCTTGTCAGACCTCTTCTTCCCCCTTAAAAGAAACCCATGGTAACCACACTAAGAATCTGTTGAAAGCCTGAAGTATGTTGCTTTCCCAATAGCCTACAGAATACCCTAGCAGTTCCCGTGTTTGCACCAACCACTAGACATTCACTATGACGTTGGGCAGGTGTACAAGGAGCCCTGCATTTACAAAAGCCTCTGTGGCTTGTGTCAAAGTTTAACAGCAGCATGTTCATTGTTTTCAAGCTTTAATTGTTCAATCAACTCCTTGTTCTTCCCTGAATAAACTTTAAACTACCAAAACCAAAGCACTAATGGTGAACCTTAAATTGAAAGGTTTGTCCCTATCCTATTACTCACTTTTCCTTGATTAATTTCAATGACAAAGGGACAGCACTGAAGAGATGGCATAGTTTATTCTCTGGCTTTCAAAAAGTGCCTGCTATAGATTAAGCATGCACGTGTTTAACAATCACTTTGCACAACTTTCAACTTTGCTACAGTCTGCAAATACTTTCTTTTCCATTGCCAGGATAAACTGCTCCTTCTTAATCTTGACTACACTGATAGGCTTTGCAATCTCCAAACACCAAAATGTGAACAACATGTGAGCTAAAGCTTGAGAACAAAGCACAACATAGTAAACTTGCCATATGTCAGAGGCTACAAATTAGCCATATAGGGGAGCTTTTCAACTGTAAACACAGGCTAGATTCTGATTAACCGTCACGTGACAGCACAGATTTTTTTTTTTTTTTTTTTACTACCTAAGTCACCATACAAAATCAGAATGACTAAGGCAACAAAACCAAAATCCCATGGACAACATTCACAATAAAAGTGGGAGACATGTCATCCATACACGCCTCAAATTATGAGTGGGAAAAACCACCAACAGCCACAAGACCTGCGTAGAATCAGCATCTGTGTGGAAGTATACATAGAGAA